TGTAATTTCAGTCTTTTGAAATGTGCGTAACAAATAATTTCAAACAAACAAACAAACAAGGCAGGCCCACAAACAAAAAGCAAAAACAACGCAGGTATTCCAACCCAGAGATGCAACATGCATCTTTCGGTTTTCAAATCGAGAGTACACATTGTGTATTTATCACAGTGAATAAGCATCTTGAACCTAACAACTTGTTTCCAAGCAATTATTGTAAAGTGGAAAAAGAAGAAAAAGTAGCGATCTATTATTCAGTCAAGCTAATTGCTAAGAATGGGAAAGGAGATGCAAAAATGTGATACACTGAAACATAGTAAGCTAGTCAGCCTGGAAAGTGAACAGTGAAGAACAATACGCAGGCACACGAAATGGTAGTAATCCAATCAAACTGAATGGGGAATAAGAACAATTGACATTATGCATTGGCTACAATTCAAAATCCAAAAAACCTAAAGCAAGCTTTTAACCTGCTATTTTATGATGTTCTTGAAGTTTTAGTTCTGCTGCTTGTTTCTGTTTTTCACTGCTAATATTTTACTATTGGTCTTTTAATTCTCCATTAGTTTTATTGCCAGCTGCTTCTTTTAATAGAAAAAACAGAACTGAAAAGTGCTTTGCCTACAAGTATCTCTGAATGAAGAACAAGTATGTTTCAGCAGAGGAGAGAGAGCACATTTAGGGAATAAATGAAGCTAGTAGTGCTCAGAAAAACTTCTGCCATTTCTAACTACCCAAAATTATGTTTGGGTTTCACTGGCACTCTTAAAAAATTATCTTTTCAGCCATTTGATTTGGAGCCTGGAAAACCCCTGGCCTCTCAACCCCTTCTCTGTTCCTGGTAACAGGCCTTCTTTTAATGTGCATCCATAATTTCATCCGGGGAAGACAATAAGGCCAAAATGACGCTTAACCCAATCACAAATCCTTCTTTATCATGCCTCCTCCACAAAGGTTGCCCCAAGAATTTGGTAGACTAAACAGAAAGGATGTGTAATAGCAAGCACAAAAGGGTGGAAACAGACAAGGCATTGAGATTGGAGGACACTTAAAATGAACAGGCTGCCCATAGGAGAAATGGGGAGGCTAAATTAAGTCTCTCAAATGACTGCAGGAAGGAGGCATGTAATGCTTTTCATGAAAGCACTCCATCTTCTGGAGCAATGTTTTGGATTTTGTAATTTCACAACTTCCTATCACTGTCCAGAGCAGTCTTCCACAGCTGAGCAGCCTCCAAATGTGTGGGACTTCAATTCCCATTACCTCCAGCTAGTGTAGCCATAGGACATGTTTGGTGAGGATGATAGGAGATCCAGTCACAACACATCCAGAAGGCACCAGGTGGGAATGTGCGGTTGGGGAACTACAACTCGCATCAGCCCTAGCCTCATGACCAGTGGTGAGGGATTTATTTGCTATATTTACATCCTACCTTTTTTCCTTTCGAGGACCTCAAGGCAGCATACAGAATTCTCTTCAGATTCTCACAGAGTGAGCTCCATGGCTGAGTGTGGACTAGAACCCAGATCTATGCTCAGAAATGAGGGTACCATGAGTCCTGTTTGGAGCCTGCCTCCTGTATGGTAAGAAAACTGCTGCTTGATGCAATATGAGGCCGCCAGGAGGCTGGGTGAGGCACCTGGCTTTGCGCATATCACACCAAGCAAGAAGGCAACTGCAGTGGGTCTCGGTTAGCTGCACATACTAAGCATTGCTGTGGCATGCACAGTCCCGAAGAACTTGGGACCAGAATACTGCAGATCATCTTTCCCAATAAAGACCTGTGAAGGCATTTGGATCATTGGAGAAAGCCTGAATGGCTGCACTATGAAATGCAGACTGCAGTCTTCCAGCGACCGGGAAGTTGGCTTTCTTTGTTGTGATGCCCGTCCTACAAAATTATCTCCTGCTGGAATCTGTAGCATGCTTGAGACATCAACTAAAAGCCCATTTCATCACTCAGGAATGGGTGCACTGCTCAGTCTGTTTGCTGATAATTATGCACGGTAATGGTTTTAATACTTTTATTAATGTGTTTCTTTTTATAAAAATATTTTAGCAATTTTATGCATTTCAGGGTAAAATTTCAACTTTTTGAGAATCACCAAGAGATATTTTAAAGTATGTTCAGCTGTCTATAAATGCATTTAATAAATGAATTTTCAGATGGCAGTCCTATCTTTTAAAGCATCCTCTTTTGGGTCCAAGTCCAGCATAAAGCTGACAGGGAGAAGGGAAAGAGCAGGAGCCTCGATTTTTCCCCTCAACGGTCAGCACATGGATGGCAACCTTTACAGGCAGCCACACAAATCACCTTGTTGCAGCCTTCCTGACTGTGGTGAGATGATGGCTATTTACCTTGTTATATAAAAACTGGCTTATGAATACTTGTATCATTTTGGGTGAGTTGAGTTCTCACATCACACCAAGTTGTCTTGATGTAATTAACCATGAGTTGGTGGTGGGCTTGATAAACTGACAAATGATGGGATACTCTACAGCTACCCTTGGCTTGTGTCCCCTCTTGGTCCTCTTGCCAGCTCCGGCATGGACTCCAGTGGCCTCTGTGGCAAATTCCTTGCTTGCTCAGTCCCTGCATCAATGCCCGGTCTGCAACTGATCTGCTGGGGTTGCCAGTTCCTGAGGGCACCTTCACACTGCTTTGGACTGCCAAATGGGATTAATTTATTGAGCCCCTGTGAACACAGCAACGTGTTTGCATTAAACAATGGAGTCTTGCACAAGTGTTCAAAAGTGCCTGCCTGTTATTTGGCAAAATCCACAGACATCATCCATGGTGCTGGAGAAGAGCTTTGTGAAAGCCCTGGACAGACAGAAAGACAAACACATGAATCCTGGATCAAATCAAGCCAGAAGTTTCCCTAGAAGCAAGAATGACAGAGCTGCGGTAGTCATATTTTGGGTACATCATGAAAGGACAAGACTCCCTGGAGAAGGCCATCAGGCCAGCAAAAGGTGAAGGCAGAAGAAGAAAAGGAAGACCAATATGAGATGGTGGCATTCCACTAGGGAAGCCACAAGCTTGACTTTGTAAGCAGGGCTGTCTTAGGACATTTTGGGGACCTTCATTCATAGAGTTGCTATGAGTCAAAGATGACTTGACCACACAGAACAGCAACAACAGACAGTCTTGTCTTGACAATGGTTTTGATTATATCATCCCCTTCCCTTCAATGCTTTCACAGACGGTGAACAATTTTTTTGGGGAAGGGGAAGACTGCTTCCCCTGCTTCCAAAGTAAGTGCACCCACCCCAAAAAATCCTTCACTTGCAGCTACTGGCACCTTTGTCTTCTCCAACAGTACCCCCCTCCCTTTCATGCTGGTCACTATCCTCCCACTGGTCTTAATTGTTAGTTGTCAGCTATACAGGTGAGTTATGGAGCAGCAACCTAAATCAATAAACATACACAAATGTCAAGGCAGAGAAATGAGGAGGATTAAGGCAGAACCATAAGGCTGAGGGGGAAACGATGCAAATTTTACAGTGGCTGCCTCTGCATCTGTGAGATTCTAGGGAGCAGCAGAAGGGTCTGTTGCTCTTGCTGGAAGACTCTGTAGGTATTCCCAACAACCCATAATGACCTTGCCCTGCTGTTTGCACATCAAACAACTGAACAACTCAACAACAAGGCATGGGCTCTCAGTGTGGCTTGACTGTGAAGAATAAGTCAACCTGCAAAACCACGCTGGTTTGGATGTCATGACAATGCACCATGGTGGGCTGTCATATCAAGCAAATCAGGCCATTTTCTCATTTTGAGATCTGTAAGTGGTCATCAATCAATCAGGACCATAAGAGAAAGCCAAATCTGCTCCATTATTCCAGATGCAGGATGAAGAAGTTATAAATGCCTCTCCAGCACTATCACTAATGAGCAACTGTTTCCCTTCTCCTAGAGAAACAAATAACTGCTACCCAAGGAGTTTCGGCTACAAGGCAGCATAGAAATAAATGAATGAATCCACTTCAGTGGATAAAAGTACAGCACAGGGATGCTGGTGCAGTAAGAACAAACACTACTCCCCACTAATGGCACCAGATGGTTCGCCTCTCACCCGATCAAGGATTCTATGGGAAGTGGGTGAACAAAATATCTAGAGCAGGACACCCAATCGGAGGACTCACATGCCTTTTCCAGGCCCTCTGTCCACATCCACACATCATGTCACGGGGGTCTTCCCAAGCAGTCATGGCTCCGAAGAACAGGAATTAAATGAAGAAATGTGGCATGTTGCCTCTGGTTTGGATAGCAGTTGCCGAGGGCACACTGAGTGTTTCTTATCAAAAAACATACAGTCTTGGAATGGGGGTGCATTCTTTCTCTAATTTACAACTGTGGCTGGGAGCCATGGCTGATGGGGGTCCATAACTCACACTGTGGGCTCACCGGGGCAATGGTGGTGTGGAACACAAGGAGAGCAGTGCTGGGTCAGTCGAAGGTTCATCCAGCCCAGCAGTCTGCTCACGGGATCTCCAAAGCAGGACAAGAGTACCACAGCACCCTCTCACCTGAGCTGGGGCATTTCTCAAAGATGCTCTTCACTTTTGCAGCTTTTGGGTCCTAAGAGCCAGTGTGGTATAGTGGTTATAGGTCTGAGTTTGCTGATCTAGATTCCAGTCCTCACTCAGCGAGGGAGCTCACTGGGTGAGTTTGGGCCAGACACACACTCTCAGCCCAACCTACCTCACAGGGTTGTTGTGAGGATTGAGAGAAAGAGAATTAAGTAAGCCACCTTGAATTCCTTGAAAGGAAAAAAGGCAGAATACAAATGTAATTATATAAAATCTCCCATATAGTTTTATCCTGCTAATCTTGGAAGTTAAGCAGGGTTGGGCCTGATTGAAATCTGGATGGGTGACTTAAATGTTGTGAACCACCCAGAGAGCTTCAGCTATGGGCAGTACAGAAATGTAATGTAATGTCATTAATAATGACAATGATGATAAAATAAATAAAAACCAATCAATCATTAGAACTCTTTTCCTTTTTCTGTACTGATGTAATCACATGCCAACTAAGGATAACATTTCATGTGTCTGAGGCAGCGGGCTGTAATCAAGGGGTGGCCCTCCAAGTTCTTGGCCCCACAGGTCCCAACAGCCCCAGCCAGTGTAGCCAATGGTGAGGGTTTATGGGAGAAGCAGGGCAAAGTAAGTAGCCGACATCTTTGTAATCCTTTAAGAAGCCAGAAGAATGCTGAGTTTCTGAAAACAGACCAACAGAGCTGGATCCAGATTTAGGGAATCTATTTGCACTACAGCTGGGGAATGAACAACTCATGGGACTACAATCATCATCCCTCACCACTGGCAATGTTGTAGGAGCTGCAGTCTAACAACACCTGAGTTACACACTTTGGGGTGGGGGGTTGGGTTGCTCATGAATCAAAGTGAACAACTAGAGGGAGATTTAGGGCCCAGAAATCACCCCATCTACCTAACACATCAAAGTGAGCCCAAGCCCTCTGACTTGCAACTTCTTTGAGAAACGTGGCTCCTGGTGCTCACCCAATTGCCCAACCCTGATATCAAAGGAGGCCAGTGGAGAATGAGGAAGCTGGTGCGTACAAAACAAGGCACCGGCATAAAATTACACAGGCCATTCACCTCACATTGTTCTCATTCTCAGTTTTTTAAGTGAGTGCCAACATAGCAAGAGTGTCTCATCTCTCAAGACGGATGCCAGAGGATTGGGAAAATGGCATGAGGAAAACCCCTGCCATGATCAACTCAAGGCTAGTTCTTGCTCAACATATAGGTTTGTGCACATTCCTGATTTGCACAATCCTTGCCCAACTCATGAGCAGTGTGATAGTGGTAAAGAAGCACTTACTCATCACAAAGGACAAAAGAGGACACTGCATACAAATAATTCATTTTTCTGTATTGGGAAGACTGAGACTAGGTGACCCATGTATCTGCTCCTTCTGCTGTCCAACCAACTCAGGGCTCCTGCTCTCCATTCCTATGGTTCATCATTCTTAAACTGGACTTGGACTGGACATCCGTTCTTCAATTCCTTTGGAGAATGTTCTTATTTATCGTATTTATATCCTGCCCTTTTCTCCTATGTTAAAAGCCTCTTCTAAGGCTACATTACTAGCAGGAAGAGTTTTTGGCTAAAATAGGCTAGCATTTTTGCCCCTGCCTCTTGGTCTTTTGCGCTACCCATCACTGGAATGCAGCCCCCAACAGCTTCTTTAAAATGGAATGTGTTGGACCTGAGACAGGTTAACTTCTCTAGAATAATGGATATATTATTAAATATTAAAAACAGTGGTATGGAGAAGCCTGTTTGAAGAGATGGAAGTATCTTTTCTACTTTTCTGCTCACAGGCACATTGTCAGAAAGGCCTCTGTGAAAAGCCTAGTCCTGCTGGGTGAAGCAGCAGATGACTCAAGTCCCATCCATGTTGCTTGCTACTGCAACAGCCATTTCAAAGTGACTTACACAAAAAGGATACAAAATCCTTAAGCAATGTAACAAAGAAATGAAAGATACACAAGAGGTGCCTTCAAAGATCAGGCTTCCCTCTGGAGCAGTGCAAATGACATCGCTAAGAACTGCTCCGTGGTAGAAACCAAGTCTCCTCATGCCAGGCCTACTTTCACTCACAGAATGACTTACACACCAAAAAAGGAAGCATGTGAACCTCCATCACAGGCTGATTCCTGAGAGCATATGTGAACCAGTCCTGTATTTGTCACAGTATCTTTCTCACACACACACTTTTTAAATAAGAAGTGGGCTATTGAAAATGATTACACATCAGGAACTACGATGGACAAGCTCATGGTAAGCATTTCAAAATATCACATAACAAGAAAATCAAGATGGCGGACCTCTCAGTAGGCTATGCAAACTGAGTAAACCTCTCATACTCTGCTTAATTTGTTTTGATTGTCTTAACTGGAAAATGCTAAGGGGTGAGTTTTAATCTTTTTTGGGCTGAGAACAGGGAAAACAAATGCACCAAAAAACAGATCATCACAGGCAGGCTTAACGTGCACCAGCTCAAGACTGTTCCAATTATCCAAATCTTCTTTTGGCTAAGATATGACAGCCAGTTCTAATAAATTTATTTTTTTACTGGCATGGTTCATTTGATTGTAAAGCACCCTGAAATCAAGCATAAATAGAAATGCTCTATTTTGGGAAAGAGACAGGAGACAGGCAAAGATTATCTCAGGCCCTGCTCTAGCGGGGCAGCGGCTTCCTCCTCCTCTTCCTTCTGCCATAAACTGCCCCATGAGCCCTTTTATTCATGGGTTGCTTTACTTGTAGGATTCTACTGAGAGTCTGTGTGGTGTAGTGATTAAGAAAGCGGGACTGGGTGTCAGGCAACCTGGGTTTTAGTTCCCACTTGGCCATGGAACCAACAAGGTGACTTTGGGCCAGTCACAGACTCTCAGTCCAACCTACCTTCCAGGGTGGCTGTTGTGGGGATAGGGTTGAGAACAGGAGGAGGAGAATGACATAAACCACTTTGAGTTGTAAGAAAAAAGCAGGATATAAATCTTATAAATAATTGGAAAGCTGGATATAAATCATTGTAATAAGTTAGGTAATGGAGAGTCCCTATCCCCACATGGTAGTCCGAAATGAATTTTTGAAGTTTTTCTTTGTAAACCTCACTCAAGGATCAAGACCGGCATTTAGGATGTGAGGTGTTGAGCCTCAGGAATCACCTTTCAAATATCTCCTTTAATTAGGCAAGGATAAAGGGGCTTTAAACAATGTCACTACAGATTCATTCTTTGCATTAACCTCTGTCATAAAGCAGAACAGGGCAATCAGTAAGAAATGAAGAAGTGGAGTTTGGTTTTAAGTTCATTTGTTACACTCACTGCTTTTGAACAAAGTCATCCTTGTGGCCCTAAGCTACCAAAAAGAACAAAAGTCAAGGTCATGATAGCAGTGTGTGTGTAAGGGGAGAAAGACCAAAATGTACTGTGATCCCCCACTGAAGTCTGTCTGTCTGTCTGTCTGTCTGTCTGTCTGTCTCTCTCTCTCTCTCACACACACACACACACACACGACCAGTGGCCCTTTAATCTGAATTTCTTACCAGCAACAAACCTATTGATATAAATCCTATAACTGCTCTGAAGTCTCACTGAGTTCAACTGGACTAATTCCCATGTATGTGTGTATAACAGTATAGCCTAAAGTGCTTTAGAAGTGAATAAAGTTAATCCAGATAGCCTTTTAAACAAGTGCCTAAAAAGTAGATATCTAAGAATCCTTGGTTCTGTATTCATAATAGGCAACACAAAAGGAGAATTCCTATTTCATCCTTCATAAACTTGACCCATTTGACATTTTGACTGTCTTTGTTTAGTTTCCAAGCATAGGTCAGGCAAACCTTTCAGAGCTCTACTTGCTTTCTTCCATCTTAGCATTCCACCTTAGCATGTGAGTATGTTACTCCTGTTTACAGCCTTCACTCTCTGAACCTCAATTGCTCAAAGACTCACAGAAAGCAATCCTATGGTCCCTTGGCATGCATCTCTTGAAAGGGGGAACTGGAAACCTGTTGCTGCACTGCCAGCAAGGAAATGCCAGCTACTTCTCTGAGGTCAGAAACGCAGTTTTGGAGCAGGAGAAAGACTCATTCCTGTGAGTGCAAATGGCAGCAGAGGCCAGGCAGAGCACAGTTTATGTTGACCTCCTTCCAGCCTCCAATGTGCCCTTACTAGATAGGCTGAAAAGCCAGTGTAGTGCAATAACAGGTGAGCAGGAAGCCAAGTTCACCTCTGCCATTTTTTCCTGCTTCACCACAGCAACTTCCTCATAAGCCCACCCCATAGTCCCCCATCCCTTCTGAAAACAACAGCTAAAGACATGGATTTGCTGGAATTTAGTGCATTGTATTAATTCTTCTTGGTATCTTCCACACTGAGAAAATGAAGTTCGTAAGTTCCTTGAGGGAGGGACCTAGTTGCCTGGCCTGGAATTTACCTGTCTAGGGCATTTTTAATGGCAGTGATTTTTGACCTAGAAATCCCTGAAAAAGTTAGGCTTGGAAGTCTGCTTCCTATGGAAAGTTCGTCACACTTTCCCTTCACTTACGTAGACTCTGATTGCAAAGTTCCCTTGAAACAGCTTCTGTTACAGGCATTGTGTTAGCGTGGCAAAGGTAGGAAAAGTTGCTACTTTCAGTGAAGAATATCGCTTCTGCTGCAGTGTGGTGTAATGTTTGGAGTGCTGCGCTCAGGAGATCCACACTCAGCTGCAAAGTTCCCTGGGTAACTTTGGGCAGACGGGGACTCTCAGCCTAACCTACTTCACAGGGCTGTTGTGAGAATAAAATGGAGAGGATGATCTATAATTTGATGGCTTTTAGAGCTGCTGTTTACAATTTTACCTCCTATGCCCATGAATGTATTTGAAGACACGGGCTCCATCAAAGGCTTATGCCTCAGTAAAAGTTTGATTGCTGCAAGATCTTTTGCTTCTTATGCTGTAAACAGAACTGCCCTCCAAAATGTGTGGCTGTTTTAGAAATAGCTCTAGTAGAAGCAAGCAAGCAAAGAAGCAACAATAAACGGAACCCGTGCACCCAAGCCCATATATGTGCTAGAGAATCCATCTGGCAGATAAAATGGACCATTTTTCAGAAGACATCACTTGATTAGTAATGCTCCTGATATGAATTGGCTTTTAATGGTCAGCCATTATACCCAGACAGAACCTAGACTATAGCAGTCATTAAATTATGTTTCACTGACTCAAGATCAAGCAAGTGAAAAGCTGAGTCATAATGTTAAAACATCCCTGTGGAACCAGATTAAATATCCTCATTGTGTTGCACTGTATACAGACAATTGCCTCTTTTCTTTTTGGCTTTCTCCAAGGCTGGCTTGCATAGCAAGCATATTCACCAAACCACCCTCAAATAGAAGACTATAATGTTCTAGCAGTTCAGACTAAAAACCATTTCTGCCCCTCCACAATCTGCTTCTGATTTGAAACTGACTATTTGTAGCATCCAGTGCAAATTTGGTTGGTGGAAATGAAACCAACTCTTAGACTAGGATTTATATTTAGACTTTTGTATGGCGCTTTCAAAGTGTTCAAAATGTTGTCATACATACCAGGGATGTTGAAACCCTAGGCCTTCTCCCCGGTCTGCCTTCCCAGATTGCTACACCCTTCCCCATCCTTCCCACATTACTCCTTTACACATTTTCCCCTAATTTAAAATGACGATGTGCCTACCATAAGGCTCTCGTGACGGTAAGAGCTTTAAGTTAAAATACACTGGTACTTGCACCTTTGCCCCATTTGACAATGCCTCAACCCATTACTGAAACAGACTTCCTGGGAATTCTCTGAGACTTAATTTGTACCTTGGGCTGAAGGAGAGGCTAATACTCCAGTGCAATGCATCTCAGTAAACTATCCACAAAGGCAGGCTGGTATTAGCTCATACTGGGGAGGAAGGAGGCAAAGCTAAAGAATTCAGCTGACCAGCAAATCTGTATAGGTACAGGTGACCAGACACTTCCGACTCATGCTTCTGGCAACTCAAATACACCAACTCTTATTTGAAAGAGGGAATGATGTATGACAAAATACGGTATGGAATCCCTCTAGAAACTGAGAAATTTGCTTTGCCTGATTCGCATCAGCTTTAACTGCAGTCTTGAACTTCAGGCTCAACATTTATGTCTCCTGTCCACTTCACCAAAAATGGAACTCAGTCCCAAATGTCAACAGTTTTTGAAATGTAAAATTAACATGCTTTTTTTTCATAAGAGCTCTTTCTTGTGAAACTGGCAGCCAATGTGAGTTGAAAGATAAAGGAAAGCAGAACAGCAGCAAATAGTGAGTGGTGGTCTTGGTTGATATAGCCTGCAAAACAAGGTCACTGAAGGATCTGCATTAAGAGTGGTGTTTTTTAAACTTGTCCACAAATGATCTGGAGTTGAGGATAAGTGGTACAATAGCCAAGTTTTCCAAGGACACCAAATTATTTAAGGTGGACAGAACCAAAGGGACAATAACACACTTCAAAACAACTTTTCCAAACTAACGGAATGGGCATTAGCATGTGGAATGTGGTTCCATGAAATATGAAGGCAAATATGAAGCAATGTGTACAGCGGCAGAAAGTTTCAACTTCACATAGACACAGATGGCACCATAATTAATAACAGTTAACCAAGGAATGTCTTGGACTTAGGGTGATTTGTTTGATGAGGAAGTCATCCTTGTCTATGAAAAAAGTAAAAATCATATTGGGGATTATTAAAGAAGGATTAACCTCCTTGCTAATATAATTTCTTTATATAGATTGCACACATGGAATACTCTGTACAGTTCTGATCACTGCACCTCAAAGAAGATATTGGTAGAACTCAAAAAGGTGCAGAAGAGGACAGCCTAAATGACCAAAGGACAGGAAGAAATCACTTGTGAAGAAAATTTAGAGTGTCTGGTGCTTTATCACTTAGAAAATGGCAAGTAAGGTAGAAAACTGATAGTGGTGTATCAGATGGTGCAATGCATGTGGGAAGTAGATGCAAAGAATACTTTTCCATTTGTCCTGAATCTCTTGCTGTTTGGCTTCCCTGATGATCCAGTGAAGTGAAAGATTTAGGCCTGGCAAAAAGTTCGTCACACAGTGCATGGCTCTTCAGTCCAGCCCCTGGTTTCCAGTATCTATTAACTACTGCACTTGAAGAAGGGGTGGCGTGGAGTCAGAGAGGGGAAGAGGCTCTATAACACCAACAGCTCTGTGATTTTCAAAAATCAATCAAAAGTCAACACAAAGTTCCTCAGGGGCAATACACCCACTAGTTAGCCTTTACGTAATGCTGGATCAGGCTGGCAAACTTTGGCTGAAGTGTAATGGTGCTAGAATATGACAAAATCTTCACCTTTATTAGCAAGTGGCTGTTGCTTTAAAGTGCAGATAGCAAGTCCTTCATTTGAGCGATCCTATGAACCCTAGGGTCATAAGAAACCCAGGAAGCTGCCCACCTACCTAAATATTGTTTACACTGGCTAGTAGAGCTCTCCAGAATTTCAGACAGGGGTCTTTCAAGCCTCAACTAGGAATACCAGAATTGAACCCAGGTCTTTCTACTTGCAACACATGCATTATAGTAGTAGGCTTAGGCCCAGAGCTGCATTTTGACATACGAACTAACCCCTTCATAAGCGTTCATTTTCCACCTGATGCAGAACATGTGCCTTCTTCCTCCCTGCTTTGGCTTCTGGCATGTTAAATTTGCTCTAGTTCTGAAAGGGAGCAAAACATACAGCATCCAGGCAAATTGATTTCCAAAATGGTTTCATAGCTTTAATCATTGCTCTTTGGCAATTACCTGATAACTGGCAGAGGTCTTTTCACACCTCTGGAGCCAAAGTAATATTTAAGGAACTGTCAAGGCTGGTGCCTTTGGGCGCAACCATTTGGGGAAGCACCACGATTTTTTGGGAATAGTCCTTTGGGAATAAGAGAATAATGCTGGGAGCTTTATCTACTCAGTTACAAAACGTTAGAGAAGCAAGGGTCCAAGTAGCAGAAACCACAGTATAGGCTTAGGTACTAAGAATGGATGCCAATAGTTTTATATACTTTCTATAGTGGGCGATTTTATAATGTTGGTGTTTATGTTTTATATTAAAGATGTTTTTAAAGTGTTATGAATGGATTTTGCCATGGTAAAAAAGGAGTGTATAAAGGAATGTGGCAGTCAGACTACTGACTGGAGTTTGTGATGAGGAACATCTTAGTACAAAACTTATTGGCTGGCAGTCTATTTGTGAGCTCAGTTCAAAGTGAAGGTTATGACCTTTAAAGCCCAAAGCCTGACTGAAAGTTAAGAGCCTGTGGATAGGTTAGCGCCTGAGCCCTGCCAACTCTAAGCTGCATTTTTAAGGAAGAAGGCCTATACCCAGGCTTTAGAAAATTCTTTCCTTAGAGAGTCACTTGGCCAGCTTCCTGTTTTTTACCATCATCCTGGCCTGCACATAATGCCAATCATTAAAGAACCAATGCCAATGAATTGGTGGAGTCATGCAGGAATGAGTGAGTGCAGCGCTTCCCACCTGCTTCCTACTTCCATGTGGTATAAGCTTGCCAAAACAACTGAAGAATGCACCCCACATCTGGCTTCTTACCTGATTCCGTATCTAGTAATCTGGGTTGTTGAAGATTAAGCAACCTAGAGTTTTAAACTAACAACAAAGCATGGGTTATCATTACATGCAAACTGGGCTAATGACTTAAAGCTGTCTTTTCCTGTTAGGCTTTTAGCCTGTAAAGTGTTAATTGTATTCTCCTTGGTTTGGTCACTGCTATTTTTGCTTTGTATTTTTCACTGCCTTTTTAGCAGCTGTCATCTTTTAATACTGAATTGCTATTTACTGTTAGGTTTCCATGATTAATCATATTACTATTAATAGTTGGCTTGCTTTCCCACCACCCCCTATTGGAAAGGCAGGCTATAAATACTTAAAATAAATGGATAAATAAAATTAATGCCATGTAAGCAGCCACACATTTATATGGATTTCCTCTTATTGTGCATGCTGCTATAACACTGACATTTAGGCGTGGCTTGGACATTATCTTAAGGGTTGCTATGCAGATTCAGCATCAAGGTGCTGAATTCCTTTCCTGCATAGCATTTTTCTTAGCAGTGATTATAATTTTATAGGTATGGTAGGTAAGCTTTAATACTGAACTGAATCCCTGCTTTAAGGAACACAAGATCCTTGGCTGCTGAATTTTCTGTGAGGAGAAAAAAGATCCAGAATATAAAGATTAGCCAAGCTGTGCACCTAACAGTTTAACAAAACAATGAAGAAAGATGCTTATGTTTCATTAAAAAGTCCACTGCTATTAAAGCAAGTTCCATTTCACAACAGAAGCCAAACACATTAATGAAAAGAATTTTGCTCTCCCATGGATAAATATCTTGTCAACAGCTTGCAGGGCCATCATTTCTGTAAACAACAAAATGTGTCATTAATTACTCTGCTGACAAACAAATGAACACAGGAAATGGGATACATAAACTAAAACATAATTTATGGTAAGATGTTGGGTGAATGGCTTTAGACTTTTAGACTTTCATATATATCCAGACTATTAGGAAACCAGCAGTGACTGTAAATGCCAGAACACTGTCAATGCCAGAAAGGGGTAGATTTGAACAGCTGACTTCTGCAGAATCCATGGGTCCTAGTACCTGCCAACTCAGAAGAAGATGGCAACGAAGATGAAGAAGATGACAATGAAGAAGCAAAAGGAAGAAGAGGAGGTGGATAAGGAAGGCTTTTCATTTGGATACAGCCTCAAGATAATTAGTGCATGCTTTTCATTTCAGGAAAGTTTGGATGGCCAATATGTCAATTTCAGCTGATGAAGTCTAGATTTTAATACCTAAATCCAGTGAAGAGTACTATTGTATTGGCTAAGACAGTAGTTTTCAAGCTTTCTTTGTGGACCACTCGGAAATAGCTGGATGTCTTGGCAGAACATAACTATGTGCCTTTGTCTAAATGTTCTTCATTTCTGTTACCAACAATAAATTAAATGCAGAGCCAAGTTCAGAAATTATTGACTGCCCAGCAACCATTCCAAAGACCACCTGAATGGAGCTCACTAACCACTTTCTGGTCTGGGAGACTAAAGAGAACCAGAAGGTTTAAATCTCATCTCTGCCATGAGCTCACTAAACAGCTTTCAACAGATATTCTGTACTTCAGTGTCAATCCCCCTTCTGCCAAATGGAAATTAGTTTTCATATACCTTAAAGCAGGGGTGTAGAAAGTACATATTACAGGCCATTGGTGGTGGTCTCCAAGCCACGTCTGGTAGTTCACCAGACCTGCAGCATGTGTTGCCACCAAAAAAGGGGGTGGGGAGGACAGGAAATCCTTTAAGAATAGGCTCTATGGAGCCTGCAATAAGTTTCTTTCCTAATGTCTCCTAGGACATTCTAGGGTCAAAGTGATGACTGAAGAATTACTAAAAACATCAACCAACAAAGTACTTTGAAGTAGGATACATTTTACATATAGTATCTTTCCTCCAACACCCTCCAAACATGTTCACCTGATAACTATTTTCTGTTCCTTTAGGCTGGGTAAGAGAGTATAAATCCATTGCTTGTGATACAGATGTTTTGCAAGTGTCTTAGAGCTCAACTGTGCCCATATTTAGACAGAAAAAGTCCAAAACTCCCAGTACGTCCCAGCCAGTATGTCTGGCTGCAGGGATTCTGGGAGTTGTGGGACATTTTTCCTCTTAAAACATGCACAAGATTGCACGCTTAATTGTCTAGTTCTTGTCTAGTATTGTTTTCTATTTTTCTATTTTGATCTGCTCCAAGATGCTTAGAAAAGATAGGGCATTCATTTTTAAGATACATAAATATGGTATTAACTTAGTATCAGAGCCCCAAAACACAATCCTGTAAAGAGAGATGTACAATGAATCCATGAAATCATCAGTTAGGACCCTTTAATGGTATTTAAAGAATGCATAGAAATAAGTCATCCTAATAAATAAATAAAAAATCAAAGATGGGGCAGCTAACGTAGAACTATAAAGTTGAGATCATCAATGATTTTCAACTAGTTCAGAAGGAATATATCCTCTGCTGAGCAACCAGCTTTCTCAGGCTCTTCCTCAACTATTGTAGGTTTTCCATCCAACCACAGTAGATTTTCATTTTTGAAGAACGAGATGAAACATATTTAAAAGAATTTGGTAATTTTAATTCAATTTTAATTTTAATTTATTTTAATTCAAAATGACCCAACGTAAAACCTTACATTACAAAAGGAAGAACATAATATGTTACGATATTGCTAACACACAAGAGCTGTGTGGAAGGTAGATCAGCGGGCAAAATGGTACATCATTCTTCTCACAGCAAGTTTAGTGACACTGAAGTGACCTTATCAAGTCAAACTTGAATTTCAAATTTCCCTAATCCTCCCTCCATAAAAACCTGACAAATAGGTGGTGAATCCACAGCGAAGGTCTCCATCTCAATTCTTAATGAAATGAACAAAGCTTGCCACAGTACAAGAACCACAGGGTTGCTTCCCAGGAGCTTCTGTACACAAAGTTCCTGGCAGACTGTATTCTCAGGCCTATGACTCCAGTGTAAATGAAATGCTAGCATCCCAGAAGCCATTATTTGCACATTGGGATTTAGGTTCCCTTCCTCTCTCCCCTCTCCTACTGAGCGCAATTTCGTCCTCCCTTCTGGTATTAGCCTTAACTATGGTTTAGGAATATACCTGTACTACTGCTAACTGTACCTAATGCTGAACAAAAACTTCCATCTTAACTCAAATTTGAAACAAGTTTGGAAATCCAAGTTAACAGGATTTGATATAGATGTTAAATAAGCCCTTGTTAAGGCAGGGGGAGTGAAAATTTATGCTATGAGAAGAGAGGAAGTGCATATTCTTTTGGTTGGCTCCTAATTTACACCCACCATTCATATGGAGGAAGAGCTACCCCCAACACTGGGTATTAGTCATCTTTGTCCATACAAAGTACCAAATACTAACAAATACAGAATATTGTGTCTTCATGCTGTCCCAAAGAAGGCAAAGTTGTTCCTAGCATGAGTAAGGAATTAAGCAAAAACAAAAAAGCAATCTCAACAGAAGCCTTTGGAAATAACAAATATGGTCTCTAATATTGTAAATAGATTAGAAATATGGTAATTAAATAATCTAAAAAACACACACTCTGCTGTACATTTATAAACAGAAATATTTACAAATTCTTGTTTTGTTTTAAAAGAATGAGGTTTGTGGTTTGCTAATGATCATCTTGTCTGTTTCTTTGGTGTGTCTGCCAATTTGTGTATGTTTTATTTAAAAAAAAAAACTTTAAAGGTTGCAAATATTCAAGAAGTGGTAACAGGTCTGGAATTGATGCTCTTGTCTTTTTGGATTAAACTCAAACATTTAATGGAAAACCCCCACAGTTTTCTAGCTGCAAGACTAAAATATGGCAACATCATTCTCTTCTGATTCTCTGTCCTATCATGATGGTATGTTTGCTCAAACAGGGGAAAATCTACTACACTGTCTCATCTGGTTGCCCCAGCATGGAGGTATGTACATTGTACATTCTGTCCTTTGGCCCAATTCAATGTAGTACATAAACAGTGGAATACCCTGAAGAGAAGAGAAGAGAAGAGAAGAGAAGAGAAGAGAAGAGAAGAGAAGAGAAGAGAAGAGAAGAGGATGATTTGCCCAGTTACATAATAACCGAAGTGCTAAATTTTCCGCAGAACTGGGATGCAAGGTTTCCCCCATTGCCCTAAGCTTACAAATACAACTTTACTGAAAGAAAGACTCTCAGAGAGGGTTCAGGGGATTTTTGTTTCATGACCCATTGTGTAATTCATAAAACGGCATAGATTAGAAACATGGGGAAAAATAAAAACAAACCTCAGTCAAATAAATAAATGGAATTATACAGTTCCTTAAATAGCACTTTTGTTATCAGCAAGATATTTATATTTTTTTTAAGTCACAGCAGCATGACAGAATAAAATCTACCTTACAATGGATCCCTGAACCAGTAGAGAAAACTAGGCTGTTAAGAATGCACTATCACTTATATTTATTTATTTAGAATGCCAACCAAACTGATTCAGACCTGAAACTCTATTGTGTCAACTCACCACACTTAAGCACGACTAACTTCCTCTGGCTGGGGAGTCTTAGATACCAAAGAACCTAAAAATTAGAAAAGATTGACCATTGGAAGAACGTTTTTGGAAGATCATAGAAGCTCAAAACTTAACAGTAGCCTTTAGCTCTGTATTACTAGAAAACAAGGACCTTGTTCTTCTTAGCTTGCAAAACCCTTGCATTCACTATAGCAACCAAATGAAGTACACTTGGCTTGGCTGGGGCTACATCTAATGAGGAAGAATGAACTTGTTGGCCATTCAATTACTATTTTTCCTCTGGCTGCTAGTTTACTAAAATGGGGGAAAAAGAGACACTTGTCTGTTACCTTATGCTGACCCATCAATCTATTGCTGGCTTGGCCAAAGCCAAGTCAAGAAGCCATCCCAGCCTACCACAGTTCCTTGCAGTCCTTCTACAGCAACAGGAGTGATGTTTGTAAAAATGGGTACAACCACTGCTGCTGCTCTCATGAATTGTCAGATAAAAAGCACAACTGATTCACCCTTCAAGAAAGTAGGGGAGGGGCTGTGCTTGGAAACTGGCAACAGTTAAGTGAGAGAGACCAGTATTTTCCCCTAACATAATCTATGTCAAAACTGAGACCAAATCAAAAAGCTTTGGGTTTCAAAATCATGGCAGAACTTGATAAAGACAGTTAAGTGCTGGGAACCAATTTTTGTGATGATCTAAACCCTCATCGAAGAACAGACTTAATCTACTATACCCACAGTTAGTCAAGGGTTTGGGGCAAAAACAACAACAACAAACCTGGGCTTTGGCAAGATTTGTGCTCAGATTACTATTTTCTTCCTAGAGAGAAATTCTCATTAGAAAGGGCCTGGAATTCTCATTGAATTCTCAATTTTGTTATGTGTATAACCAATGATTTATGCTTCAACATAGCTATGGAAATAAATTGTATCAAAGTTCACAGTAAGATCTGTGCACTCTACATTTTGGTTTTTACTAAGATTTGCCTCAAGACATGCATGTGTGTGTTCCAATTCATATTTGCAGATATTTTAAGATATGAGTTATTTTTACATGGTCCGTATGAGCACGATAGATTTTTGGATTGACCCAAGGTCCTGTTTAATATCAAGCAAGATAAAAGCACAAGAGAAAACAAGCCCCTTTACAAGGATTAAAAGCAAATTGCTAGCTCAGAATCTGGTCTTAACAGCACAAATTAGCCTCTAACGTGAGGGGAGGAAAATCAAAAGTGAGCTGCAACATTTTAATTTAGATGCCATTGAAATTTGGTAGGTAAGAAAAACTACAATAATATTGTAGCAATTCCTATATTAGCAAGCTACATGTTGAGGTCAGGGTAGGAATGTGTGAAATTCACACGAGCAATGAAGAAAATCTAAATTTGAATAAATTATTGTTTGTGAGGCACTATATAAAAACAGGATGTGTTTGCCTTGAAATTAGATTTAGGGGGGTTGCTTTGTTTTTTTGGTTAATGCTCTTTTTAATAGAAAAAAATTACACAGAGACCACAGAGGCATCTGAGCAGTGTAAAACCTAATTACAAACAGAACATGTACTGCTATCAAAGCAGGGATAAGACATATGGACATCCAAACTACAATAATTATGTTAAAAATCAAACTTGTACTTAAAAAAATAATAATGAAGGTAGCAATGTTTCAGAAAGACGCCATGTTTATAGTAAACTCTGAACACCCTAGTTACATGCCTGAGCCATGATTCTGAGAAAAACTCCATATGAGCAGGAAACTATGCCCACATGAAATCCAGTTAACTGACAGGACTCCTTATGGGGCATAAGTAGTGTTGCCCATATTGGTCCGTTGTACGGGAGCAGTGCTAGTGGACTAAATTCACCAAGCACTGTTGCTATGCAGCATCTTCATTCCAAATAGGTCTGCCTAGGACTCTTCACAAATAAAGGAACTCAACAGCAGCACCTGGTGGATTTCTCCCTTAAGTTTCCCGCCTTTATTTTGTTAGCATTCGCTCAGCCATCTCACAGTATTACACATGCTACATGGGGGTGGGGGAAGGCTTCCTTTGAAAAAGTTACGTTCTTCATTTAAATGCTGCAAGTTTGTGTTTTTTTTTTAAATGATACTTAAAAAACAAAACAAAACAAAACAAAACAAATCCCCTGCAAAAACCTAAAGCCAAACCCACAAGTTACATAGAAAGCTTGGATTTTGTAAACTTGGACCAAGGAAATCAAAAAATTAAGACCTTCTAGCATTTGGTATAAAACACCCACCTCCCCCCAAGGAATTGTATACCTGCCTTCTGACTTCTCGGGAAAAAACAAAAAATCAGAAATTGCATAGGATATACGTTGTGCAAGGTGACCAGCCTTTGAAAGGTATCTGGAATATAAACTAATCTTGCTTATTGTCCGACTCTTTTGTAAAATGTCAGATGTCATCAAATTTGTGTTTTAAGTAGTCTTTCATGACCTTGGCAATTGGTAGTTCATCAAGTAGTTTGAGGTTTTGAAGGCCTATACACTGGCGGATTTTAATTCGGCATAGATCTTGCAGGTTCCGGGGCTGTCCTAAAAAAGGAGAAAAAAGAATTACCATATCATTAAAAAGGTCATGAGTAGTAAGAGAGTGAGCTGAAACAGACAAGTAGAAGCTTTCTTTCCCTGCTCTATGAAACAGAACAGCTAAGTGTTTAGACTTAGTGCAGACAATGTTAGTTTTCAGTAAAGCGGTTTTAATTCAGACTATTAACAGTGGATCTCAGACGCTATTTCCTAGCTACACTTAATAATCTTATAAGTGAGTGTGCTAGGGAAGGAACTGGGACTTTCTACATGTAAAGGTATGTGCTGCACCACTGAGCTGCTTCAATCCAAGATGTAAAAAAAGCAAGGTCTTCACAGCAAGATGATGTATATCAAAACAGAATCGCCATCTCAGTCTTATCCAGACACATCTGTCTTTAAGAAGCAGTATATATGATATGTGCTTTACATGGTATGCCCCAAACTTGGTATATTTTTCACAGGTGCACAGGCACAATTCCAGGTATATGTTATAAATGCCCAAACATTGTATATTGTTTTGGACATACAGCAGTAAATGCTGGCAATCGCAAGTTAGACAATTTTCAGTAGCGTACCCTTAGAATTTTCAGACATTCACAGTATTTGCCTGAGAGTTCTGCTAGCATTCATAAGTGACTATCAAAAGAAAAATATTCTTTGTAATCAGTAAAAAACACACAGCCTCCGTATCTGCAACAGAATATTCTGAAGAAAATGGAAGGATGAATGGGAAGTCAGTCCACACTTAAGACAGAATCCCTCAAGAGCTGATTATTAAGCGTCTTGACATTTTCCCCTGATAAGCTGAAGAGTATTTCCTGGGAATGTGCTAATAATGGGCATTTCCAGTGTTAAGCACCAGTTGCTACAACTATTGGCTCTCAGTGTCTAGAGCAGTTACTCATTCTTGGTTGCATCTGAATGAAAAAGGGAAGGAGGAGGATTATAGACCAACACTGGTGAACCCTCATCTGGCAAATGTGAAACGTTATTAGTAATTTGGCAAAAACAAGGCAAGTAAAGAAGGTGATGAGTTAAGCTCTGCCTAATGATTATTAAGAGGTAATAAGTGTAGAGCTTTGGTCAATTTTGGAAAGCTCTCTGGGTTTGTATTAAAATGGAGATTAGTCAAACCAATTAAGAGGCTTCCAAAGTCAGCAACTTGTCTGCAAAAATATGTTGGTATCAAAAGAAATTCTATTTACCATTCTCTGCTTTTAATGGAGGCTCATTTTTGCAACATCACATTTAAGGAGGAATTACATTAGTAAGCTTTATTGCAAAATTTAAAAATAGCCAGCAGGTTTTCAGTTGTTTTGGTACAGCTAACAGTTTGAAGGCCAGCTTTTGACTTCAGCTACTTTAAAAAAATAAATAGATGGCATTTGCTTGATAGCAGTGTAATTTCAAATGATAGCAACACTACTTCAAAGGGATGGAACTTGGGAGATTCTAAGCCAAGCACCCCAAAGATCACAGCAACTGTCAGATAAGTCTGCCATATTTTCTGACATGGCAAAGACGATGAAGGGCATTAACAAGATCTATTTCTTGTGTGTACCATATAAAAGGACTCACTTTCGGGTACTGAACTACTTAATAATTGTGTACAGATGACAAATGTGCGATGGGCATGCCCACCTCTTTTCAGCCCCTCTTCACAGCCACAGACCACAAGCAGCATGTAAACCAAGAGAGGCTTTGCTCTGTCAGCCTCCCCTCACTCAGTGAATGCACAGCCAGCTTGAATTTATCTGTCACACCATGAAGGTGGATTGCAGGTGAATCTGCTGTGACCAAGGGATCCAGGGGATTATCTGCCTGACTCCTGAGCTGTTACAACTTTGCTGTATATGAGGCTTTCTGGGGCAGGGATCCTCCATCTAGGATCCTCCAACTAGAACTCTGGACAGCAAGCAAATGATGCCAGGCAGGCACGGCAAAGTCTGTCTGACAACTTATATTATATAAAGTGCTGGAAGGAGCATTTAGTCACCCACCACAAAGTGATTCTGTATCCTGCTTTAGATGCTTTAATGAATAATTATTAGGCCTATTTTCAACCATTCATTTTGAAATACCCTTCTCATAGTGTGAAGAGTTGCTGGGGCTCGCTGTGTCTCACCAGGCACACAGAGGGTCAGTGTCGTGGGCTGTGTGTCCCTTCCCAAGCAAGACTGTCACTCCAGCACTTCTTAAGAGTCTTTATTTTATACAGGAAATCTAAGCATTCACAAGTCTCTGAGCACACTCAAGAAGTGCTGACCCCTCTCTGCTTCCCTTCACCCAAACCTTTGCTTATGAACCCCATGGGGCCTGTCTCTAGAAGGTGGGGAGCTGTGAAAATGGGTCTGCCCGCATTCTGTACTCTGAGCCCCTAATTGGTCCAGCCTGCAGCTGTGGTGACGGGCCCTCAGGTCCGTATGTTCAGGAGGCTCGTGTTCTCCATTTGTCTCCTTCATTCCCACAGGCAGGAGGGCGTCTGGGCCCCATGCCCATCCTTGAGCTACTTTCATCCAGGGCAGGTAGAGACTGGCATGGTGTGTGTGTGGGGGGGGGGGAGTGTGCAGGTGTAGGCCTCTGTTTCAACAACAATTCCGTTATTAGAGTGTGAGCTCTCAGACTTGTCTGGTTCGGTCATCCCCACATCATCCCCTGAGCCTGAGCTTTCAGTCTCACCAAAACAGGCCATCTCTTGTGTGCGTGGTAGGGTTAGCAGCTGCAGCACACCAGGCTCCCCTCTTGCTGCATTTCTTTGGGAGGAATAAAATGAAACAACCCAAGCAAGAGAGGTCACACACCTTGGTGCAAGGTCAGTTCCCTATGCCAACCTGAATGAACACTTGGACAAGCTAGCATGAATGGGGTGAGAAGCTAGGAATAAAAGGGGCATGGGGTGAGGGCAGGGGGCACATGCACAGGAGGGAGTGGGGCCAGGGATGGATGGAGACTGAGAAGAGCAGGCAGGGGAGCCTTGCTCTTGGGGTGGACAGGTGCCAGTATGCTTGTCACTCATGGAAAGGGTGTGGGGGCCATTTTCAATCTGTCCAAGTCTGCCCCCTGCTCCTGAGGCAAACTTTGCTCCCCCATTCCAGGCAAGATGGGAAGGCCTGGGGGATCATGACTGGGGGATCCCTGGGGGATCATCAAGGGACTGGGAGTCAGAGTTAAGAGGCTCTGGGGCTGCTAGGCAAGGAGAATTGCTGCAGAAGAAACCCAGGCTGTAACCTTGCTAATTCCCCTGAAGAAGCTGGTGGCTGGGGTTCCGTGTGAAGCACCTCCCTACCATGTCAGGGCCATGGCTGTTGCATAATTACACTGGGGTAAAGATTCTTTTCCCCATTTGTTGAAGTCCGCTTGAATCGTTGAAACCTGTAGCCACTGCACCTTCGAGAATCTCTTCAAATGTCCCTGCTAATGGAGGCAATGGAGCAGAGAGGGTTTGACATTCCCCTTCCCCTGACCCTGTGACACATGGGAGCAAAGGTAGTAGTCTTTCCAAAAGTAAATAAGGATACTTTTAGGATCTTTTATAAATCAATATCTTTGCTTAATCAGAAATTTGAAATTTATACAGCCACATTAGCAAAAAAGACTTAATAAAGTACTAAGAAGATTGATAAAGATCGGTCTGATTTTGTTAAAGGGAAACAACTTGTATATAGAGTTAGAAAATGAACATGATTGATAACAACAAAGGAGTGTCATTGTTCCGAGATGCTGAAAAGGTTCTTGATAGGTTTAAATGTTCCTAAGCTACAGAATGTGCTTAAATAATTTTGGTCCATTTGTTATCAATAGTATGAATTCCCATTTCCCACCAGATTTTAACCTTTCAAAGGGCATGAGACAAAGTTGCCTTTTATCTCCCTTGTGCTTTGCATGGAATCATTACAAAAAGCATTTAGGAAACATGAATAAAATATGTTCCATTAAAAACAAAATATTCAGACATTCTCTTGAATGAAGACAATGTGGTACTTATCTTGACATTCAAAGAAGTCAGTGATATTTGCCTCAAAATACTGAATGATCTGAGCTCAATCTACATTTAGGCATGTGTAACTGGGCAGAAGTTGACTTTCCTGTCCCCTCCACTCCATGGCTGCTCTTTTAGTCCCTGAAAAATGTGACACAGAGGGTTGGAGAATCCACCTGCATGGGATGAGCTGTGCTGCAGATCCATGGAAGGTAGATCTAGATCCAGCCCAACGAGTATAAGATATTATTTTTCTCCATTTAAGTAGATAGAGATTGATGGCAATAGATAGGGATCAGAGAAATACGACAGTGGAACCAGCTGCCTAGAGAGGTGGTGTGCTCGCCCGCACTAGAGGCATTCAAAAAGAAACTGGGTTGTCAGCTGTCAGAGTGGGATGGTGTAACTTGGTGTCCTGCAACAGGAAGGGTTGGACCCAATGGCCTTCTTGGCCCCTTCCAGCTCTACTATTCTATGATTCTATGTAGAGGTAAAGAATAAAGATAAATAAGCAAAACAGCAGACTATGTCCTGTGGAAATCTAGTGTAATGTAATTAAGAATCTTGGTATTTGGATGTCTGAAAATGAGGAGAAGCTTGTAGAGGTGTCCTACTCCGAAATATAACATATGAAAATGAAAGTGGTTAATTGGTGATCTATGCTAAATTTAACCTGAACGTGATGCATGTCTACAAGCAAGCATAACTAATACTCTTTCTATAATATAGTTATTAATATCCTCTGGCAATTAAGAAAACTAGATTAAGGACCCACCAATTATTTGCACTTGTTTTATTTGGGAGAGTAGGGAAGAATGGATTACATTCTTCATTACAAAACTCTTGGAAACTAGCAGGGGTGCATTTACCCAGTTTTTGACAAATTATGATACATGTAGGATCGCTAAAGCATGGCAATGGTTAGGGTAGAGTAGAGTAAGCACTTGGAAGTTATCCAGTTTTACATCAGTGAAGATCTTAAATATTGCAGGAGACTCCACTGGAGTAGAGGGCAGCATATAAA